ATCTGTACAGAAGCTTAAGTAGCAGCCTCCAAATTAGAGCCAGATTGAGTGCCAAAGCCTATTTATAAGTGGGTCACCTAAACTTTTAATGGATTTTAATAGAAATCATTATCTATGATTAAAATTATGACTCCTGGTTGGCATGATGTTCCTTCATCACCCCCGAAATGACTGTAAAATTACAATGTATCTGAAATTGGTATTATACTAAAAATAATATAAAAGCCAAAAGTCAAATAAAATAATTTCTGGGGGAAAAATAGGTGTAAAGAATTCCAGTTTGGGGAACAGAAACTTCTTGTTTCAATATTTATTGAATATCTACTGTGTACCAGATAAATAAGAAGACAGGGCTCCTGTCCTTCAGTTTCCTCAATGTTATTCAAGAGGTAGAGTCAGCAATATAGCTGTGTTATAAATTGCGATGACGTGTAAACAGCCGAGGGAGCATTGCTGCAGTGCCCTCAGGTGCACAAAATGGGTCCATCATTCAGTTACTCATAAGTTTTCTATTATTTTATTTTTTTATCCTCACCTGAGAACATTTTTGCATTTATCTTCAGATAAAGCGGGAGGGGGAGAGAGAGCGAGTGAGAGAGAGAGAGCGAGAGAGAGAGAGAGAGAGCGAGAGAGAGACATTGATTGGTTGCCTCCCGCACGACCCCAACCGGGGGCAAAACGGCCAGGGCAGTTTTCCATTATTTTAATCCTTTCTGATTTTGTATGTAAATTGCAAAGATACTCTATCACACAATGTACAAATAAATAGCAATAAAAATGTTAAATAAGTATATTAAATTCAAATAGATAAGCAAGTACTAGAAGCCATTTTCCAATCTCTCAAATTAATTCTTCCCACTAAGATGTACAGTCAGATTTACAGCTGCCAAATTTCAGCGGAAACAGCTTTTTATAATTCCACAGCATTCCAAGTGTAGAGAATTTAAAGATTATAGAGTATACAGAAGAAAACACGCAATCATTTATATCATTATTTGCCAAAAAGGCATTTCTAAACCCACTATCATAACTATCTTCTAGTCAGTTTGGACAATTTTTAAAATAACAACTGGTCAGTAACTTAAGATATAGTCGTTAAGAGCAATGGAATTAAATTATTATCTATATAACAATGACTTAATATGTAAGAGTACATATGATACATGAGTATAATACATGAATAGAAAATGACTGCCTTTTTTAAATCCTCACCCGAGGACATTTTTCCATTTTTTGTTCAGATAGAGTGGGGGGTGGGGAGGAGTGGGAGAGAGAGAGAAAAACATCCACGTGAAAGGGACACATCGAATGGCTGCCACCCACACGACCAACCAGGGCCGGGGACAAACTGCAACTGAGGTACGTGCCCTTAGTGGGAACCGAACCCGGGTCTCTCTGGACCGCAGGCCTACGCTCTAACCGCTGAGCCAAACCGGCCAGGGTGAAAATGACTGCCTTTTAAAAGCACCTCCCTGCCCCTCAATCTGGAGGGGACAGAGGAGCCACTTCAGGTGTAAAGGAGAAAGGAATACTGATTGATGCGCACTATTAAATGGTATGCTCTGACTGTGAGATCCAACTCCCATCCCAGTGGCGCAACAGTGCTCTGAGGAAGTGCTCTGACTACTGTCTGGTATTATTGTAATTTAAGTATTTGTAAACTGCCTTGGAGAACACTGGAAATTATAAAGGCAGAAATCCTGATGAGACTTTTTAAGTCTTGCAAAACAGGGGAAGAAGCAAGCATTATTATTTACTAGTCCATATCTCTGAGACCCAACGCCTCCTGTGGCACAGATATCACAGCAAGGCAGATGCTCTCAGACACAGAGGGGCAGGCCCACCCTTACTGCTGACAGCCCAGTTCAGTTAGGTTGTTCTGTGTTCAGCACTCCCACTGTCATCTCTCCCTCTACTACGGCCCACGTATCTTAATCTTCCTCCCTCCATTATTAGAGAAGTAAGCCGTACACTTCTGCCGGGTGCTTCTCTCACTGACTTCTCTCAACACGCCATATGAACAGGTTATTTATTATATTACAGATGAAGAACTGAGCTAGTGAGAGGAGCTAAGTCACTGGTTCCAGAATTCTTTCTCTCTGAAATCTTTCCGTAAAGCCCTAATGCTCAGCACAACAGCTTTGTGAATAGTTTTTCTTATGAAAGCAAGAAACAAAAATCTAGTAAAATTGGAGGGAAATGAGTATCTTAACAGGCGCTTCCTGCAATGTAGAGACAATCTGCACAAGTGTGATAAGAGTCTTTGGCACCTCTAAATTTCTGTTGAGCAACCTGAGGGCTGTCTTGAACACCCTGCCTTCTTTGAAGCCTTCCAATCAGCTTCCTCTGTCCTCTTCCACAGCACTCTGGAGATGCCCTGGTTTTAGGACATGGCATGAGAAATTCCGGAAAGTAGGGAAAAAGGAAGGAAAGAGAGAGCAGGTGGTAACTAGAGGGGATGTGGGGTTGAAAGGGAAGTTTTTAAACTACTGATGTCTAATGCTACAAAGTAAAAACTGCTATTGTGTTTTATGGGACAGCAGTAGCTGATTTATATGTCCATCACTGATTTGTGCAATTATTCATTCAACCAGCCAACAATGACTGACTGACTACTTACTATCTCCCAGGAAGTGGAATTTAAAAGAAAGAGTAAGACTTTGGAAAAGAAAGTGACCTAGTTTCTAGCATTCAATCCCCCTCCAAACTCATCAACAATCCAGCCAGATAAAGTTTCTTCTTCCACCTTCTTACTGTAAACATTTCAACACAGGAAAGAGGAGACAGCACAGTGCACTTTATGGGGAAGCAGAATGTAGCATCCGAAAATGTGTCACTTTGTCATGTAGACTGTTTTGAGCTGAAGGTAATTAAGACCCAAAAGACTCAGGAAAAGCTGTTTACTTCTCCCTTAACAACGTAAAATTTTTTTAAATAGGGAATGTGTACCAGAAAGAGCTTTTACCAAAGATAACTTTTTTTTTTTTAAATCCTCACCAGAGGCCCTGGCCAGTTTGACTCAGTGGTTAGAGCATCACCCGCCGACCAGAGAGTCCCAGGTTCAATTCCTGCTAAGGGCACGTACCTCAGTTGCAATTGTCTCCATCCCTGGTTGGGGTTGTGTGAGTGGCAGCCAGTCGATGTGACAATCTCACATCGATGTTTCTCTCTCTCTCTCTTCCTCCTTCTCTCCCTCCTGCTCTATCTGAAGATAAATGCGAAAATGTCCTCGGGTGAGGATTAAAAAAAAAGCAAAAAACAAACAAAAAAAATCCTCACCCAAGGATATTTTTTCATTGATTAAAAAAAAATTTTTTTTTTATATATATATTTTTTATTGAATGATTTTTTAGAGGGAGAAGAGGGGAGAGATAGAAACACTGATGTGATGGAGAAACATCGATTGGCTGCCTCCTGCATGCGCCCCCTACTAAGAATCGAGGCCACAACCCGGGCATGTGCCCTGACTGGGAACTGAGCCAGGACCTCTCCATCCATGGGAAGACACTCAATCCACTGAGCCACACCAGTCAGGATCCATTCATTTTTTTAGATAGAGTTGAGAGGGAGGGAGAGAGGGAGATAGAGAAAAACATCAATGACATCAATGTTGCCTCCCACACAACCAACTAGGGCTAGGGATTGAATTTGCAACCCAGCTACATGCCTTTGACTGGGAATCAAACCTGTGACCCTTTGGTCCTTGGGCTGATGCTCTAACCACTGAGCCAAACTGGCCAGGGCCCAAAGACAACGTTTTTTATCAGAAAAACTTATCTGCATGGCAGGACAAACATATGCTCACCCACTATTTGCTCCTTTCATCTTTCTGTGAATTGCCCTCTACCCCCTTTCTCCTTAGCTCAGGATGGCATATACGACTTAACTGCCTGACTGCCTTTGTTTGAGTTGCTCTTGTCTTTTTGGGGCTACTGTACATATAAAATTAAATTTGTTCTTCTCTCCTATCTCAATTTCATTATTAGGTCAGTCAAAGAACCTAGAAGGTAGGACAGGAAAATTTTTCCTCTCCCACAACACCCATGCGTCCAAACAAGTTCGAGCACTAAACATATGCCCACACGCCCTCTTTCCCCTGAACCAGTTGAGTAGCTCTCAGAGATGTGACACTCTGACATAAGTAGTTTCAGCCTGTCATCTCCTACAGGTCTTCTTCACCTACACGACTACAATGCCATTATCATGCCTAGGATAATTAAAAATGATTGTCTAATACTCACTTATCCAAAAAGTAAAGGTCTATAAATTTTGCAATGCATTAAACAATTATTTGCTAAGTGAATGAGTATAGTCCTTTTCTGCAGCACTTTGTCCCAAATAAGTGACTGAGCCACACAACCAATAATATAACAACAATGGATTAACATGGCTAAGGTTCTAACACCTCTCCAATTCGAATTGGGTGCACAGAGACTTCTAATCTGTTTGTTATTTATGACTTGTTAAGAGATCAGCTAACAAGAAACAAATCAAGTTAACTTTTAAAAAACTTTACAAGTGGCAACTCAGATATTCCTGATAATCGGCTAACCCTAAAACCAGAGAAGAAATTATTAGTAATTTCTATCTTCCTATTTTTAACTTTTTAAAGTCTCTTTTGAAATTTCAATAGTTTTTCTTTTATATGTCAATATTTACTCATTGTTTTAAATCTCATTTTTCAACGAACTTTTAATGGAATGTTATTTCTCTAGTTAAAAAATAAAATCTTGCCCTGGCCGGTTTGGCTCAGCGGTTAGAGCGTCGGCCTGCGGTCCGGAGAGACCCGGGTTCGGTTCCCGCTAAGGGCATGTACTTCGGTTGCAGTTTGTCCCCGGCCCTGGTTGGTCGTGCGGGTGGCAGCCACTCGATGTGTCCCTTTCACGTCGATATTTCTCTCTCTCTCTCCCTCCCACTCTATCTGTACAAAGGTGTCCTCGGGTGAGGATAAAAAAAATAAAATAAAATAAAAAAAAATAAAATAAAATCTATCATCTTACCCATCCATAAGCAGTACTTCGCTCGTGCTCCTGAGTGACATCAGCTACATAGGCAAATATCACAGAGAACGTGACCGAGAAGACTCCAGACACAGAAATCATTGCAAAATAACACCTATAAAAAGATCATTTCATTACCCAGGAGAGAGGTAGTGTATGTACATTTTTATAACCAGAGACAAAGATATCATGTAGATTATAAACCAAGAAATACATTTTATTTTTATGCATGTATAAGATATAAAGGACAACTAATAAAATCACAATCAAGATGGAGAGATGCCCTGGCCAGTTTGGCTCAGCAGTTAGAGCGTCGGCTTGCAGACCAAAGAGCCACAGGTTCAATTCTGGTCAAGGGCACGTACCTCAGTTGTGGTTTGGTCCCCAGACCTGGTTGGGATTGTGTGGGAGGCAAGCAACCAATCAATGTGTCTCTCTCACATCAATGTTTCTCTCTCTCTCCCTCCCTCCCACTCTATCTGAAGATAAATGGAAAAATATCCACAGGTGAGGATTTAAAAAAAACAAGATGGAGAGAAAAAAAGTAGAAACATACTAATTCTGTCGCTGCTCAAAAGGTGTCAGTACATGTAGTTTAAATAAGTAAAGTTATAGTTTTGTTTTGTTTTGTTTTTTATCCTCACCCGAGGATATTTTTCCATTTTTTTTGTACAGATAGAGTGGGAGGGAGAGAGAGAAAGGGAGAGAGAGGAAGGGAGAGAGAGTGAGAAACATCGACGTGAAGGGACACATCGAGTGGCTGCCACCCGCACGACCAACCAGGGCCGGGGACAAACTGCAACCGAAATACGTGCCCTTAGCGGGAACCGAACCCGGGTCTCTCCGGACCGCAGGCCGACACTCTAACCGCTAAGCCAAACTGGCCAGGGCAGTAAAGTTATAGTTTTAAAGGAAGCTAAAACAAGAGAAAAAAAAACTTTCTAAATATAGCAGATGACTTTACAAGAGCTACACAAAAGCAGAAAGGGTAACAAAAAATATTAATGTAATTAAGACCAAAAATGTTTATCACATGCGTAGACGCTTTAAAAAAATCTAGTCAAAATTCTAGCAAACAGAACAAAAAGTAGGGTTTATTCCAGAAATAATAATGTTCCAATATTAGAAAGTATAATTCATTATGGTAACAGATCTAAGGAGATAAATCAAATGATCTCCCATTGATGCAAAAAAGGCATCTAATAAAACTGACACCCCATCTTGGTTTTAAAAAAGAAACTCTCTGGATAAAATAGAAATGAGTATTTTTCAATCTAAAAGCGAATTCATAAAAGCCAGTGTAACACTCAATAATAAAACATTACAATGTTTCTATATGAGGAAGGTAAGTCCACAATCATCACTTTTATTTAACATTACTCATTAGTCAGTACAAGTAGCAAAAGCAGTATCATGAAAACTGGAAGAGAAGAGGTAAAATCATTTAAACATCTAAAGAATATTTCTAAGGTATTCAGAGGACTTAAAAAAAAAAATAGCCCTAATTCATTGGAAAAGCATGACATGTTCTTGTACAGAAAGACTCAATATCAAAAAGTAGTTTAAAAAATTCTTCATCTGGCCCGGCTGGTGTGGCTCAGTGGACTGAGCATAGTCCCATGGACTGAGAGGTCCCGGTTTGATTCCCAGTCAGGGCACACAAACAGGTTTCGGGTTTGATCCCCAGTAGGGGGTGTGCACGAGGCAGCCAATCAATGTTTCTCACTTTGATGTTTCTATATCTCTCTCCCTTCCTCTCTCTCTAAAAAAAAATCAGTAACATAATTTTAAAAAAATATTCTTCATCTGGTAGAAAATAAAATGTTTTAGTATGGGCACAAATTTAGAACATGACAGTGCTGACATAAAATCCCTATCAAATAATAAAATGAGGATATTTTCACATGAGCCAAAAAGAAAAAAGAAAATCATATGTTATATTAAAAACAAAAAATAAAAACCTTCTATTCTAATGTGTGTCCTTCACATTGCTGAGATTAACAACAGGAATTTTGGCCAAAATACCATCTTCTGAGCTCCAGAAAAAAAACCATGTTACAAAGCTCAGGTGCAAATTCTTTGGTAACTAAATAGACTTGCTCACATGCTAAATATTCTCTACTTATCATGAAAAAACTGAGAGCAAATTAAAATTCATATTATAGTCCTGGCTGGGTACTCAGTTGGTTAGAGCACTGTCCCGATACACCAAGGTTGTGGGTTCAATCCCCAGTCAGGACACATACAAGAATCAACCAATGACTGTATGAATAAATGGAACAACAAATCCATGTCTCTCTGTCTCTCTCTTCCCTTTCTTTTCTCTCTCAAAATCAATAAATAAAAGTTTAAAAATTCACATTATAATTTAGAATAGGCCATCGGTATTACTACATTATATACAAAAGTGACCCCTGCCTTTGACATAAATTATGTTCATATTAGTGCCCTAGACCAATGGAGTTGACAAAAACAGTTACATTTGCAAAGTCAACTGAGCCACAGCAGGGAGTGGAATCCTCAGCCCCTCCCAAGACCCAAATCCTATAACTGACCATGGCAACTACAACTTTTATTTCTGTTTCTTCACCTCATACTTAATTGGGTAATCTCTTCACTTCCCCATTATAATATGGGCAAAATGGCAACTGCCAAAACTGGCTTTCAGTAGTACCAAAGAGATAAAATGAAAACACAGATACAACTGCTTTGAAGTGGTTAAGAAGTGCTCTGTAAATGTATTTTTTACATGTGACCCCAAACTGTCATGATGATGAAAGGCTGAGCCACTCACCACGGGCTGATCCTCATCAGCGGAATTGGAAAGCAGGTAAAGAAGACGGTGCCCAGAAGAAAGGGCTTCCTTCCCCACACATCGGACAGAGCGCCTATGAGGGGGGCACTCAGAAAAGAGAGCAGACCCTGGAGAAGAAAACAGAAGCAAAGGTCAGATGTATAATGCAATCCTCCAACTACTTGTAGTTCCTATTTTCTAAATGAATTTCTAAATGCGGCAGTTCATTTTGTTGGCCCCCCAAACAGAGTAATTTGAAACTGTCATTTAAAAAAATTCTAACAAAATTTCTAAACACAGTGAGAAAGGGAAGAAAGGGGTAAGAGCTTATTTTCTGGGAAAAGTTGGAAAAGGTAATATAAAAATATATACCCACAGTTGGTACTTAAAATGAACACATACCAAGCAGATGAGAAGAAGCCAGAAACTTAATTCATTTAAATAGACATGTACAGCATATTTATCATGTACAAAGCTGTGAATTAACTGGTACAATAAAGACACCCAACAAATACACACCTTCTACTCTCAAACCACCTGTTAGCTAATAGGGATAAATAGAACAAGTATGCATATTCCAAATGCCCATAAGAAAAATTCAAGTTCTGTCTTTCTGTTGAACTTAGGAAGGAGATCATGCAACTTGACAACAGAGTAAAGGCTAAGGAGAATCAAGAAACAAGAACACCAGACATAAGCAAAGGAAGTAAAGAAATTCACATTTACTATTTGCTAGTCACCTACTTGCCGGCTACTTTCATATCGAATTCCTGTTTGACCTCATGGTCCTCTGAGGTGGCCACAGGCCTGACCCTCAGACCTGGCTGGTGCCAGAGCCCTCACCCACATGCTCCGTCTGCACATTGCAAATAGATCTCCAGTCTCTCTGAGCTCCATGCTTACAGCCAAGTGGACTTTTCTAGTAGGATATTTAAGATGCATACTGTTCCCTCGACAGCAATCCCTCCTTTATCCATACAGGAGACATTCCAAGACCCCCAGTGGATGCCTGAAACCACAGGTTGTACCAAATCCTGTATAGAGTAAGTCTTTTCCTATACCACATACCCATGATCAAGTTTAATTTATAAATTAGTGACAATAAGAGACTAAGAACAATAATAACATATACTGTAATAAAACTTATGTGAATGTGATCTCTCTTTGTCAAAATATCTTATCATACTGCACGTACAGTGTGGTTACTCTGGACAAAGGGATAATGCATGTGCCAGGTGGGAGCGTGGGAGATCCATCATGGTACTCAGAATGGTGTGCAATTTAAAATTTATGAATTGTCTGCTTCTGGAGTTTTTCTTTAATATCTTCAGACTGCAGTTAACCACAGATAACTGAAACTGAGGAAAGAAACCTCAAGATATAAGGCTGGACAACTGGAAATCTGACCACACACACATACTTCCTGCCTTGCTAGGAAGCCCTGCAAAGCCTTTTCCTTCGTCTCTCCACTCCCTAAGGCTGTTTCTTAGACCATTCTCTTAAGGACCTCTCTACATCCATCCTCTGTAGTAACCCAGTAGTACTGCTACCTGAATGAAAATAAAGCCATTTTCTAACTGCCCCTGACCCTGGTCCGACCTCCCTGATATGCCTTCCACACACCTCAAGAGCAGGGATGGGCTGCGAACCTCAGCTCTTTCATCTCTTCTTTAAAACCTTGCTATGGTCTCCACTGTGCAGTTTAAAATCTCCAGCATGTATTTATGATGGAAATAATGTGTCTGAACTTTGCTTTTAAATACTGAAGGGGGAAAACCAGGATAGATGAGACAAGAGAAAATGTTGATAAATAATGAAACTGAATGATGAGCATATATTTCATATATCATTTTCTATTTCTGTGCATTTGAATTTTCAGTGTGTTTTAAAAATTCCTCATAGTATATAAATCAAACCATCCAAAATCTGGCACCTAACACAACCCCGATGTCGTGCAATATGCAACACTTTGTTAGCTTTCTGAATATACCATGCTGTTTCGGCCAATGTGCCTTCACACGGCCCTTGCTGTGCCTGCATGCACCCCAACCTTGGGCCTGGAACTACTAGTCATTCACTCTTCTCAGCTCTGGGTGACGAGTACCTCCTCCTCGATTCTCTTGGCTACTTAAATCAGAATTAACGTGGTAATATCAGTTCTATCGTTATTGTAACACTATTAAAATTACTTGTTATTTGTCTATCTTCTCTATTGGATTAGAAATTGAGATTAAGGTCAGAGGAATGGTTTCCTTTCATTTCAACTTTGTACCCTTGGGGCCTATCACACAGCCTGGAAAGTAAGAGCTTTCAAAGAGGTTTGGTGAAATGAACAGAACCTTTAAGAGAAAATCATATTTCACAGTAGTTTCCAAGTCTCAGAGCCCAGTTTCCCAGCTACCAATAAACCCAGAACCCAAGGCCAAGAGGCAGGTAAACTGAAGGGGTGGTAAAAGACTCAATGGAAGGCAGGCAAGCTGAAGAGAAAAGCTTTTTGGCCTCTCTGAAATAAAAGATTAATCCTTGTAATTTTTAAGCTGTTAGGACTCACAAGGCAATATAATTCTGAACAGCCATTTTGCAAACCTCCCCACCCCAGAAGAACGAAGACCAAACTTCCCACTACAGGAGAACTGGCAGGACAAGAAATGCAACTGGACACCAGGAACCCAGGAAGCACCCAACTGCACATCTGCATTCCTGTAGACCCAACCCCCTCCCCAAACCACCAACCAAGACCCCAAAATCCACTAGTGACAAAATCTTCCCACCAGTGGACACACATAAGGATGAAACTCCAGCTCCCAGGGTCTGCCATGATGGACCCAACACCCCAAGGTTCAGGGATGTGTAGCCTTTCCCCTTGGGTATCCCCTCCCCCACCCCTTTTCTTTAAATAAACCCAATTTTTCTACATTCACTGTCTGAGATTGCTACTTGGCATGCCCTCACACCTCGAACCATTGACTTTTACCTTTCCTAAGCCACAAGGCATTTCATGTGTTCTTGTGTCAAAAGAGGACAGATCAAGTATTAAATGATTTTCTTTAAGAGCAAATGACTACAGCCCTGGTCAGTTTTGCTCAGCGATTAGAGCGTTGGCCCACAGACCAGAGTCCTGGGTTCGGTTCCCGCTAGGGGCACGTGACTCAGTTGCAGTCTGTCTCCGGCCCTGATTGGGGTCATGTGGGTGGCAGCCAGTGTATGTGTCTCTCTCACACTGATCTTTCTCTCTTCCCCCCCTTTCTCCCTCCCACTCTATCTGAAGATAAATGCAAAAAAAAAAAAAAAAAGAGCAAATGCCCACAGAAGCAGGGCTCAAATTCAGAACCTGTGACTATCAATTTAGTAAAATTTAGAAAAGAAACTATTTTATGCTACTTCAAAGTTCTCTAAAAACATCAAATAATCGAGCACCTGTAAAGTATAAAACTGGCGAAGTAAAAATTGTAAAGAAATTTAGAACAAGGCTGTAGAAAGAATCACTACTACTAAAACAATAACAAAATTCTTTTTTTTTTTTTTTTAAATCCTCACCGGAGGATACTTTTCCATTTATCTTCAGACAGAGTTGAAGGAAGAGATAGAGAAACATCAATGTGAGAGAGAAACATCGATGTGAGAGAGAAACATCGATTGGTTGCCTCCCGCATGACGCTGACCAGGGCCAGGGGCCTAAGCGCAACTGAGGTACATGCCCTTGACTAAAATCAAACCCAAGACTCTTTGGTCCTCGAGCTGACACTCCAACCGCTCAGACAAACCATCCAGGATCAAAAATTCTTTAAGCACAAAGAACCCTGGGAAAGTTTTACATAGTTCTGGTTTCAGACTTTTTAATTTTTTTAATTCTCACCTGAGGATATTTTTCCATTGCTTTTTACACAGAGTGGGAGGGAGGGGGGGAGAGTGGGAGGGAGAGAGAGAGATTGGTTGCCTCCGACAGGGCTGGGGATCAGACCTACAACTGACAGGGAACTGACAACTGCTGAGCCAAACTGGCCAGAGCTGATTCCAGAATTCATACAATGCTTTAAAATATGGCGGGTATGCCATTTTCAAACAAATAATATAAAAAGGCCAAACATTAAAGTTCTATTTAAAATAATATACTTTTTTACAGAAAAAAGATAGTCTTCTAGATTAAAGATTTAAATTATAATTTAATCCATTCATTAAATAATATTTAAATCTAATTCTCAGTAACAATAATAGATACTAATAATATCCTCTGGGAGTGTAAAAACAGAAAATAGGTTTTTCTGTTTTTTTATTTTTTTGCACAATTTATGAGAAGCACCTGGTACTTAAACGTGGCGATTGCTAGTGTCTGCAACTCCAAACAGCCTTCCTACCCAACAGTAAAATCGATAATGGCTGTGCCTTTCCCAACATTTTTAGAATAGAAACTTCTCTTATCCCTTCCCCCTTCCCCTTCCAACAAAATCTCCCTCTTCCAAATTCTTTGTAACTCTTTTTGATACTCTCCCTAACACACTTTCCTCTAAAGCATATTTTACAGGCTAAAGAAGACAGAATAATGCCCAGCAGTGTGGGTCAGTGGTATGAGCGTCAACCCTGCACCAAGAGGTCGCCGGTTCAATTCCCAGTCAGGGCACATGCTAGGGCCTGATCCCAAGTGGGGGGCATGCAGGAGGCGGCCAATCAATGTTCCCTCTCATCAATGTTTCTATCTCTCCCTCTCCCTTCTTCTCTAAAATCAATAAAGACAAAAAAAATTTAAAAAACAAGAAGACAAGATAGACTGCCCTGTCTCCTGAAGAACAAACAAACTGCAATTCCTCAAGGCAACCTCCCCCCACTCCCCAATCAGTTTAACTTGAAATAGGATCTCCTCCCAGCCCCAATTGCCCTTCATTCCCCAAAACCCCCAAAATAAAAGAAAAACTCACTTTTTCTTCCCTGCCCTTGTGCACGGGCCCCTCCCTGTCTGTGAGGAAAGAAAAATAAATTCCCTCCCTTTCCTCTCTTATCTCCAGACCGCAAGCCGACGCTCTAACCACTGAGCAAACTGGCCAGGGCTCCTCTCTTATCTCAGTTGTGAATTCTTTCACAAGCTTGCATCAGCAGCCCAACAAAACCTTAACAGGGAGGACCTACTCTTATA